TCTGAATCTGAATCTGAATGTATTTTCTAAGTGCTTAAAGCTTCTAGAAGGAGTTTGAACTGGTTGTGAAACAGTCTCAATTTAATACTGATACCTCTATACCTACTGTATATCAGCAAACAACAGCATTAGTGAGAAGATTGGATATTTCTATATAGTTATTCTTAATGTCTGCCACCAGGTCAGATTCCTCTTGAAGTCAATGAAACAAGGCAGTAAAGACACTGCCGCCTATGTCCACAGGGGGCGCAAGAAAAAACTGAAATGTTGAAAAACTGTTGCTGCTTTAAAGGACATGAAACCAAACACCAAACTGACAGCTTGCTGAGCCCCGTCCTCGTTAGTTACTGTTGTTACGACCGTTCTTGCACAGCACATATGCAGTTTACATGTGTACGCTGGTAGATTTACCATCAAAGTTCTTAGTGATTTTTGCAACAGTGTGTCCTTTATTTCAGACAGAAGAAGACACCAGGAGGCTTCTGATTTTCAGCTGGCGACTGTTGATTTGTCCACTAAAATGATGACTGTAGTTAGCAGATTTTATCAGCTGTAGCTAGCTAGATAATTAAACTCCATGATTTGGTTGAGGATTCAGCATCTGGCTCAAGCACGGTGCCAGGATTTCAATTTTGAATGGGCCTTTTTGATTACAGAAGTAATGTTTGTACAGTTTCCAACTGGTAGTCTTGCTAAAACAGAATTGACTCATCAATTGATCGGCATCTAGCATGTCTGATTGATTATAACGCTTCTTACATCTTTTTCTCAAACATTTTCATTGCTGAGATAGGTTATTATTTACCTGCAACAGTTGTATTTATTACAAGCGGTGCATGCAGGTACACTGTTCAAATCAATGCGAAAATGAAACTAATCTCATCATGTTTATTTATTGCTGGATTATAGACCAGTACATCCATTCACTTAGAACACTGATATCTGAATTCTATTTAAGGAAATGCCATCTTGTTTGGATGATCTGGCCGGATTATTATCTGTTTAAGTTGATTGCAGGGAGGGAGAGCGAGAGATCGACTGCTGGGTGAGCTAGATTGACTTTTAGCAAGAGAGAGAGCAGCACACTGAGCTTTTCTCAACAGAACGGCAACGTAGCGACAATCGAGTCAGGCAGACACCTTCATTGGTGGACTGGAAAAAATAAAAGGGGCACCAGCCTGCAGAAAGTTCATTTGCTTAGTCAAGGTTAGCATTAGCGCCCTAGAGGGCAGTTTAGAGTGGTGCTTTGTCCACTAAAAGGGCATGCCAGAGGCCAGTTTATCCGGTTTTAGCTACCATAGTGTTTTTTTTTTTTTTTAAAACATTGGGGTACCAGTGGTGGCAATCGTCCCCCCTCCTTGAATCCACCAGTGCCTGCATTTTTTAGATGTTCTATACTCTTTGCAGCTAGGAAAACTGGCAGTGACTGCATCGGTTTTCTTTCCACAAAGCTGGAAACTGACCTGTTGTGATTGGTCCAGACTTCATACATGATAGTAGCCTAATAAATATAGTCTTTTATAGTTTTAGAAAGAGAAAGGTTTTTTAAATGTTTTAGAAATGTTTCTTTATTGTTTAATTAGGGTTGACTGGCTGAAACGAGTTTCTGGTGTGCATAATGTAGGGTAAAATGTCGCAGTTCATGTTTTCTAATAAACAATAAATATAGCATCTTTTATCTTTCATTAAAAAAGAACTTGTAAATACTCATGAGTTGCTCTGAAGCTCAATTCTGAGGCTGTTCTGTAAATAGTTTTCTAAAAAAATATAGCAACTTCTGAAAAACTCATATCAATTTTAGGCTTGCATAAACAACTTCCAGTTTAAGCCCTGCCCACTGTACATACAGATATGCATACAGATCATACAGAGAATATATGTTGTCCCAGTCAGTCAGGCCCACCGACAATGCTCTGCTGCTCACTGGTTGACTTTTTAATGTTTCCAGCTGCTAAAAATAATTTTAATTCAGCAAATGCTCTTATCTGTCACGTACCCGCCGACATGCAAAGAAAAATGCGTTTCCCTGCATGTAAACAAGAAATCAGTATTCTGGGGCAGGGCAATAGTTTCCAACAGCCGTTTCCATTACAAATATCAAGGCGATGTTGGGAGGATGTCAAAAAATGACACCCGTAAGGAACTACTGCTACATGTAGAGTCAGTCTGAAGCCGGAAAGTCTAAAGCTATTTAAGGATGTAGTACATAAAAAAATATCCTCAGAAATCTGAACGCAAAAATAGCAGTAGTGATCGTAGGGTTATGTCAGGTTGAAGGCAGGGCAAGTTTTTTAGCTTTGCCTCTCAGTTGTACAAAGTGAAGAAAGCTATGAGCAAGACAGGTGTGTGTGTACCGAATCAAATGACACAGCTCAGTAGACCTAGAATATATGGGGAGGTGCGGAGGGTGTAATGGCAGGTTTGAGAATGGGTGAAGAAATGAAAGTAAGACGACTGCTCACAGTTGTGACAGGTGGCTCCGGAGTATCCTGTTCCTGAACAGTCGCAGGAGAAGGAGCTCCATGTCTGAGAGCAGCGGCCTCCATGTTCACACAGGTTGGGAAGGCATCTGAAAAAAAAAAAAAAAGATTTTTACACAGCTATCAGATTATTAGCATTTTTATATTGATTCATCTGGTCATTACTTTCCTTAATTAATCAATTCATTGTTTTGTACGGTAGCCATGCTTGCAGGTATTTTTTAAATGCGATTATCCAAGTTATTTGTCTCGTAATTTTGAGAAAACAAAAGGCAGATAATTTATTATGAGAAAACAACGTCTTCTCGAGATCCCAAGGTTATGATGGAAAACTCGAAAAAGAGTGTCTGGTTCATTCGATCACACCTGATGTCATGGCTGTCGGGGAGGATTCATAACTAAACTGAAAACTGAGATTTACTAAATAACCTCAAAGATTCTTTTTGGTCAGTATGAAAACTATAAACTAAAACTGATTAACTGTGATGGTCATCCATGCATTGTCCATAATGAGCCTGTTTACACCTGGTATTAATGAGCATCTTGGGCGATCCGATCACAAGTGGACAGCTTTAAGTACATCAGGTTACACCTGGCATTGCAGAATGTGTCTCTAGTGACCACTTGTGATTGGATCTCACTTTCCATAAGCAAATAAACACTTTTATAGGGCTGTATAGAGGAGGTAAATAACTAAGTAAGAAATAACTTAATATGTAACATTTCCTGAATTTATGGGCCCAAATAATGAACAATCTGTCTTTCTCTTCACTCAAAACTCTCTCTTTTTTAAGGGAGCCTGGGAATATTGTGGTTACTAGTTCAGTAGTCAAATCAGTTGAAACAGACAGTGTGTTCACAAACATCTGCTGCTTATCTCGGAAGGTAAAACAGCCCAAGCACATTATTTGCATTACAGTGAACTAAATAGACAGCGTGTCTCTGTTTATTTACAGGATGTCAGTTGAGAAGATGATCATTCTACGTGGCCCAAGATTCATTCGTTTACTCTACAAAAGATATATGGTCAAATGCGTCCCAGACCACCTCGGCAAGTGGTTTTAGTGATTGGATCACCCAAAACATATATTAATACCAGGTGTAAACAGGCTCTAGGTTGAACCAATGCTACATCAATAATACGCTATCTATGCATGCTGGCATAGCACGCTTGACCTCTCTATAAGTAATAAGAGGAAACAGACTTTATTATCTTATGATCTTGAGATAATGGAATTTTAAAAAAAGAATAGCAAGTGCACAGCAGTTCTCCGTTTCTGTTGTTTTGTCAGAGGGGAAAAAAAATCTATATAGATGCTTGCTCTGTCTAACCAGCTGTCGGAAATCGAAACATGTTTTTATTTACTACGATATAAAAAAGAAAAGAGGCAAGTTATTGCATTTAAATTCTGTAACATGAGAATTAATTATACAAATAGTTGCTAATAGTTGCTGATTATGTTGACTAATAGAATCATTGTTTCAGCTCTACTTTTTAGCCCTGATACACTTTTATCTTCCGCTATTAGGAGCAGCACAAAACAATTTCTCGGCAGCAAAACAAAACATCATACAAACCTCTCAGGCATTAGGTACCAATAGAGATACTTCTTTTGTTAGTGTTCTGCAAACCTGATCTTTTATTTATCAGGTAAGCGAGACCCCTGCTCACTGTTCGCTTTATTCTTTTGTATGCAATTATGAACACCCGCTTTGGAACTCACCCAACAGTCTAATTTGCTGTTTATTCATGTTTCATTAAAAATCCCAAACAACTGTGAAATGATGGTGCCTCATACTGTGCCCTTGTCTGAATTTTAAAAAAGCTGACACGCCGAGGTGTTTCTCTAAAAATAAAAGCATTACTGTCACCCTCAGACTAGAATGCCTGTTAATGGGATTTTGACACAATGAGCGCTTCGCAGAAATTTCAGACCGCACTCTTCTGATTAATAGTCCCTTCCTCAAGCCTCCTTCAGTTTCACATAATTGCCAGCCTTTCGAGCATGCATCTATAATTTCATACACTTTCATCTCCCACCTATTAACTGCAGCGGAGCGGGCCAGCCGCAACATGGATAAGGTTGCAGCCACTGGTTTAATTACCATCAAGCTATTTTCTGTTGTGTTCATGGGTGCCCTTACGGGTCATGGAATTACAGTAGCAAGCACACCTAAGTGCACACTGACCATAAATTGAGTCACAAGGTTTAATTATACACAGAGAAAAAGAGATTAACTCTGATAAAAGTTAATTTTCTCATACTCAGGGGTCATTACTATTACTAGGGTCATTAGGTAGGCCACAGTGAGTGAAATGAAAGTTAACATCAGTGCAATAAACATTTGCAATGCTGAGTGCAGCAGCCTCACATGTCATGTCCTCAAAACAGATTGACGGATGTTGCAAAGACTACCCACCAAAAAGAAAAGTGTGGATAATGTCACCCTTTCACAAATTTCACTTTCATTGGTTTCTTTGTTGCTCTACATTGAAATACTTCATAATGTATGTGGATGGGTGTTAGTTTCCTTTGTAGAAAAGGCTATATCAACAAGTACAACTTTCTCTGATTGCATCTTTTTTATAAAATACATGAGGCAGTGCCTATTAACATTTATCAAAGATTAAAGGTCCAGTGAATTGGATATAGTCGCATCTAGTGGTGGAGTTGCACATTGCAACTAACTGAACACCGCTTTAACTAACGATGTAGATTAGCTAGCTAGAGCTAGTTAGCTAGTGTTTTGCTAACTAGCTAGCTAAGGATTGATGTAGATTAGCTAAGCGTTTTGCTTAATTTAGCTAGCTAACTCAAGCTGTGACTACATATATGTTCCCACATGCCCCTCAACCAGCAGACACCGGCCTATCTTCATTCTCCTCCATCCAACAGTCCACGACCCTGATTTCTCC